AAATTGTGGTGGATGACACACAGAATGAGAATGAGAACTCCGTAGCTGCCATGAACGAGCAAAACCTAAAAACGGAGAAGAACAAAAAAGCTAATGTATGTGCAAAAAGAGAAGACAAATTCATGAAGTCCGCTAAATGGTCGGACCACAAGTAAACTCGCCGGAACCCCCACAGCTTTCAAAATCTGATCGGTGGTTGTGAATCGTGTGATTGCGGTGAAGGAAATATGGGAGAGAAACAGAGTATAATAAAATCCATCAAAAAAAAAAATTTAAGTTCGAGGTCTAATTTTCCTATTAAAAGTTCAAAGGTCCAATATTTTTGTTTATGAACTTTGATGATTTAATTTCCACAATTAAAATTTAGGGGTGAAATTGCAACGTGGTTTGTACAATTTGTCCAAATAAATATTATAAAAAGTAGTATATTAGAATATTATTTTTATTATAGTAATGTAATATATTTAATAATTAAATTCTCAAATATGTAAAATTAACTTTTAAATGTGAAATTACGCGTATCTATTTATTTAAAAAAAAGTTGATAAATTAATAATGCTAAAAATTAGACTAAAAGTTCATTAAAAGTTTTTATCATCAGTTTATTCTCTGAATAAATTAAATTTAAATACACCATTAAATTCATAAATTTATAGAATTTCAGAATGTGTACAATTTTTTCTTTTAACTTTTTTATAAATATTTTATCTATAATTAATTTTAATAATATTTTATCTTTATTATAATTAGTTATAAAACTTTAATTCAGTTTTAATTTCAAAAGCATCCTAACTTCTTAATCTCTTTCTAGTAATTTTCTTTCATGGTTATTTTACCAACAAACTTGAATTACATTTATTGTCTGTCAATTTATAGACACTTAATTTATTTTCTTTTTGTTATCATTTTTTCAATAAATAATGATATTTTCTAATCTTTTATTATGTTAGTAAAAATATTAAATTAAAAAATAGGCAGGTGAGTCATAGACCATCTATGATAGACTAGTACTTTTTTTTATATATTCGGGAGTATTCGGGTCACCTTACGGGTGCATCTTGTGTAATCTCACACATTTAGTATTTAAAGTGTCAAGTATGGGTTGATGCATACACGTACACATACATTTACATATAGATATATAGATATTATCTAATAATGGTGTAAAAATCGAAAATAAGTATTTTAAAATTTCTCTCTCACATAGTATAAAATTGATCATTACATTCAACCAAATCTACTCAACACAATATTTTATAAAGACCTTCCCCTAGAAAGAAAAATAAAATAAAATAAAAAACAATCCCAAGGTCCAAAACAGCACAAGTTGGAAAGTGGGTGTTATAAAAAGGGCAGTGTTATTTGGGATTGAACATACCAAAGAGTTTAGAGAGCATTACACACTCGCATCAACAAGATGCTGTCGACAGCGCTAATGAGGGCAAAGCAGACGGAACGACAATTGGAAGACAAGTACAGAAAGATAACACAAAAAGAAGAAATCCTGTCCGAAGATGGCCAAAAGATAATCCCAAGGTACTTCGGCCTCAAATCCAAACACAACACCAACTACCTCCGCTACATCAACGAAGACGACGACCGAGTCGGCGGGTTCCTCCACTTCTCCGGCCAGAGAATGATCAGCCCGTATACCAAATTTGAGGTCGAACACTCTAACCTCGGAAAGGGGTACGTGCACGTAAGATGCTGTTTCAACAACAAATACTGGGTTCGCGAGTCTTCAAAATCAAACTACATCGTCGCAGCTGCCAACGAGGCACACGACGACCTCTCGAAATGGTCGTGCACGTTGTTGGAGCCGATCTACGACGACCATCAGAAGGCATATCGTTTTCGCCACGTTCAGCTTGATGCTATCGTTTATCTATCTCACTCTAATGACCAATACAACGATTGTCTTGTGGCAAAAGCCAAGCGGAATGTTAGTGTTATCCCAATAATTGTCAACGTGCAAGCAAAGGCTGATGATGATATTTATGCACTCTCAACCATCGTTGATTGGGACTCCATCTTTATACTTCCAAAACATGTGGCCTTCAAGGGAGATAATGGCCAATATTTGAGCTTTTCAAGTCCCTATTTGAAGTTTTCAAGCTCGAGTATTACAGACTCATCAGTTGTGCAGGAGATCTTTCCTACCAAAGATGGTAATATTCGTATAAAGAATGACGAATCGGGTAGGTTTTGGTATCGTGATCCTAATTGGATATGGGCGACGTCGACCAACGGCAAGAGCAACAATCCCAATAACTTGTTTTGGCCTGCCAAAATCGACGACGAAACTCTGGCTCTTCGCAATTTAGGTAATGTTAAACTTACTAATAAATCCGAAAGGTTAATTTGGTGGGTTACAATAAATATATTTTTCTATTCATATTTTTGGTTAGATACTCTCACTAATTCATGCTTTTAATATTGATAGAAGGACATAACATTATAGAAATTTTACACCAAATCAATTATTGTTAAATTAGTTTAATCACACTACATTGACAACATGAGCATAGTTTAGCGATAATTGACACTTACTCCTTCCATTGAGGTAAGAGGTTCGAATCCCCATACTCCCAATTTGCACTTTACTAAAAAAATTTAATTTGTATTATAGGTAATAATCATTTCTGCGTGAGATTGTCCGTCGAAGGGAAGACAGATTGTCTCAATTCTGCTGGAGTTCGTATTACCGATGAAGCACTCTTGAAAGCTGCAGAGGCTGTAATTTCAAAGACCATCGATAACGTGGAGTATCGACTTAACGATGCTAGGATTTACGGTCAAAAGGTGGTATCGATGGCGAAGGGAGATGCTGTAAACAAAACTAAAGAAACTGACACAGTAACTTTTAAATTCACGTACGAGGAAAAAAAGAAGAAAAATTGGAGTTCCTCAGTCTCATCAAAGATTGGTGTGAGTGTGAGTTCAAAATTTCAAGTCGGGATTCCTCATGTTGGAGAAGGGAAGATTGAAGTTTTAGCTGAGATGGGAGCTGAATATGAATGGGGAGTAACCCATAAGGACAAAAATGTGAGGGAATTTACTTACCCTGTAACTGTGCCTCCAATGTCAAGAGTGAAGATTAATGCTGTCATAAAGCAAGGCATCTGCCAAGTTCCTTTCTCGTACCGTCGAACCGATGTTCTTAGGACTGGACGACAAGTCGTTCATCATTTAAATGACGGACTTTTTACTGGTGTAAACTCCTATGACTTCGAGTTCAAGTCTGAAACTGCAGCAATCGCGTCGTAAAATTACTCGAGGGACTGGAACAATGTGGTTAACGATTTTATATCGTTTTTACTTCATACGACTATTACGGAGCAGCCATATTGTGACAGTCAGCTTGAGTAATCTTCTGTGAAAAGAGTAACTATCCATGTTGTTTGGAGTGAATCCAGCGTTGAATTTCAGTTTCTAGTTAAGGTTTTTTGCTGTCATTAAGAATAATGGTTGGAACCCAGCTTGTGTAGTTGTACGTTTGGTGTTTATTTACTTTTCAAGTGTAATTATTGTCTATGGAGTATTACTATAATATGTTATGAAACTCTCTCTTTGGTTGAAAAACACACCTTTCCTCTCTTTGTAACATTTACTAATTATTGTCCAATTTTTTTGTTTCTTGGTTTAAAACTTCTAGAGAGTGGAATATTGTAATACTTTTTATAAGTTTGTTTTTCCTAAGAATCGTTTTAAAGAATATATTCTCATATGTATCTAAAAAGAAATTGGTTGGACTTTTGAGAAGAAAAAAAAAGTTAGAGCTCATATTTTATCGCAATTGGTGAGTTCTAATTTTGCCAAGTTATTTAAATGGTTAATTTTTTACAAATTATCCGACTTAATTTTGTATAAAGCTTGATTTTATTGATATTAATGAGGGTGTTTTTGATATTTTTATATTGAATTAGCAGAAATTGAATAGAGGTAAAAATTATAAAATTATCTAAGTAGTATAAGATCTTATTCGATCAAATTGAAAATTTTTAGTCAAATTTGATCGGACATTAATCACCTATCTCAAAAGTTATAAATTTAAATTTTGTATGTCCCTTTTATTAGATGACAACTACTTAAAGATCAATCTGAACGTATTTCGACTGGTTAAGGTATCTATCTCTTTAAAAGATCGTGAGTTCGAATCTCCAACTCTAAATAGTGTAAATATATATATATATATATATATATATATAAAAAAGCTCCTTTTATCCATTAAGAATTTATGAATAATAAAAAAAATTATTTTGGAGGCATATTAGCATGCGTTGAAATGGTTGGAAATTGGTGCATGGTGATCTTCAACTAGGAGAACATGATTTTGGACAAATTCTCCCTTATAAAACAAATATTTCGATATCCCCAAAGCATTATATTTTTCATTTAAAACTTATCCAATTTTTGTAAGATTGCCCACAAAGTGACTCATGATGCTTCAATGATTGACACACACACACTAATGATTCACCTTAACATTTGGAACATTGTGGAGGAGGGAAGCAGAATAATTGAAACCACAAACTTCAACTCAAAAGAATATTTTTTTATTTAAATTTTATTCTAGTATCTAAACTTTCGAGTTTTCATCCGAGAGTTTCTAAAATATTCATTTTAGTCTCCAAATTTTAAAGTTTCTTATTTTTTATATATTTGTAATTACTTTTTGAATGTGGTTTTTTTTTAACATTTCGTATAAATTATACTAGAATTACAATGTGATAAATTAAATTTTTGTAAAACTAAAACGTCCTTTTATGAAAATTTAAGTGAGATGTTTATCAAGCAGGATGAAATTTAAACCCACCCATTAATAATTTCTAAAATTGCTTGTGGAATCTTTATGGATCTAAGATGATAATTTAGTGAATAACATATTTATTAGAATATAAAACCTCAATACTTTTATTTTTTAGAATTAAAAAAGAAATTGTGTTATTTGTCATAATGCCACGACTATTTTTTCTTCTTTTTTGCAACTCTGATTTTTTTAATATAATAAAAATGGATTATGAATTAAACCTCCTAACTTTAAAAAAAAAAAATAACAAGATATGTTAATCTCTAACTTATACTTTAAGTTGACAATTAATTTTGTCCCTTTTAAAAATATTTCACACAGCTCGACGAACAATTAATATTTTTTTTGTCCTTTTCAAGATATTTATTAATTTAACTCAAATTATACAAATTTCTTCTCACATTCTTATCGTTCATGTTGGGATCACGATAACTATTTCAAACATATTATGTCCTTTTGTCAATTATTTCACACAATCTTAACTATTTAAATTTATTTGTCCCTTTCTAAGTCATTTCACACAACTAAATGAGCAACCAATATTTTGTTCTTTTTTTTTTCTTTTTTAAATACTAGCCTCTTGCATCTGATATTTCTATTTTATTTTATCATTTTTATTAAAATTAATTTATCTGTTTAATGAATAGGTATCAAATACTATGACCGTGAACTGTAGCAATAATAAAAAAGATTGAATTATATATATATATATATATATATATATATATAACTTAACTTATATATCTATATATCTATATATATATAGTTTAACTTATATATCTATATTAATAATATATTTGAGGTTAGTTTTTTCCTTCTTCTTCATCTACGTTTTTTTGTTTGTTATTATTTTTACGTTCTCTATCACAATTTCTTATTTTTTAAGTTTCTTAATTAGTGTAGTGGATCACATTCCAATTTTTCAGATTATAATTGATAAACGGTCATGAACCTAGATGAAAGGTATGTATAAAATTCATTATTCTAATATCATTCACCACATTTATATATTTCAAGATTTTTTTATAGAGAATATTAACAATATGTTTTTTTAATAGAAAAACGTTAGATTTCTTCACCCAAATAAACTCTCTCTATTCTTCATTCAAAATATTCACTTTTAAAATTTATGATTTTTCATTTTTCACTTATAACAATTAAATAAAGTACAAATACACATTGAAACTAATAATTTAATTTAAGAACATCCATAAAATTAACAGTAAAAAATAATGTAAAAAATTTGAATATACATTTTACCAATTTATTTCTAAAAATTAATTTAAAAATCTATAATTTTATCTATAATTATAATTAATACTGAAGTTTTAAAAGTCATAGTACCTTGATAGTTAAACCATTTTTAAAAAAATAAAAATATATTAAAACTAATAATTAGATACATTCATAAATTTTTCATCACCAACTAAACCTCTTTATATTTTTTATCTAAAACATTGACTTTTAAAATTTATGATTTATGATTTTTCACTTTTTAATAAAAACATAAATTTTAAAAATTTATGACTTTATCTCTAATTATAATTAAAAATAGAATTTGAAAATTATAGTGCTTAGTAGTTAAACAATGTTTAAAGAAATAAAAATATAAAAAATTTTGAAACTAATTGGCATATACCAAAGCGAGCATAATTGGCATATATCTCCAACCAAAAGGTTGTGAGTTCAAATCCTATTATAATTATTGACGATGAAAATTTAAAAATTTTTAGAATTTTAATAGATCTGCAATCTCCCTCTCATTTTCTACAACTATATCAAAAGTTCTCCCACCTCTTTCTAAAAATTAAAAAAAAAATCTCATCTAGTTGGTTTTTATTTCTCTTTTCTATTCCCCTTAGAGAGCATAATAGACTAAGTATATATATATTTTTTTAATTTGAATTGCAAAGTAGTGTTATCTAACAATTAATTTGATCTAAACAATAATGAGAGACAAAGATATGCTTCAAAAAAATAGTCTAAAATACAGGAAATATTGACTTAGATTTAAATTAAACTACAACTACAATACACATGTTAAATTACTAGTAAATTTAAAATTCTCATGTTAGTACTTTTCAAATATAACTTAAAAAGTTTCTTGTTTGATTTTTTTTTTATGTTCTTTTCTTTCAAATATTAAATAATAGGGTTGTATTTTACCATTGAAATATTTAAAGAAAAGCAAACAAATAATCTAATAAAAAAATTTCAATTTTATAATTTACGTAAACACATCTTTATTAATTAGAATTTGAAAAGTATTTTTAATAACTATAATCATACGTGAAATTGTAGCAAACAAAATCCGCAAACTGTTTAGCTTACCCAACATAAGACTTAATAACAGATTATACTGCTTGACACTAAGACCGCTACGTCCAGTCTTCCACTCAGATCGGCTAATTCATTAATAAAGTTAAGGATTAGTTACAACAACTCTCTCTAGAAATATCACTATAAGTTCTCAACAAAAGTCCCCTAACACAATTAATACTAAGGAAAAACTCACAAAAATCGAGATCTAATTACCTCGAATATGTTGATCTTGATTAGTACTAATGCCTCTACCAATACCTGAGCCGCTGCCACTGATTAGTTGTCAAAACTCGCTCAAAATCGACTGCTAATAACCCTTTTTCGGCTGTAGAAATCCTACACCCGAAAAACTGCTATTTATAAAGATGATACAACGTTAGGGTGCTGTCCACAGTGCAATGGCGCTACGGACAAAACAAATCCCGTAGCGCCTTGGGGCCCCATGAGGAGACAGCGCCGCAGCGCTCTGCTGCGGCCCTGCCCTCCTAGTTTGCTCGACTTTATTAAATTATCTCTAATATATCTAATAATGGTGTAAAAATAAAAAATTAGTATTTTTAAATTTTTCTCTCACATAGTATAAAATTGACCATTACACTCAACCAAATCTACTCAACACAAACATTTTATAAATACCTTCCCCTAGAAAGAAAAAATAAAGAAAAAAAACAATCCCAAGATCCAAAACAGCACAAGTTGGAAAGTGGCTCTTATATTCACTGTATAAATAGTGCAGTGTTATTTGGGATTTAACATTCCAAAGAGTTTAGAGAGTATTACACACTGAGATCAACAAGATGCTGTCGACGGCGCTAATGAAGGCTAAGCGGGAACAAGAAATGTTGGAAGAGATTTACAGAAACGCAACACAGAAAGAAGAAGAAAACTTGGAAGACATGTACAGAATGATAGCACAGAAAGAAGATGGCGAAAACATAATCCCAAGGTATTTCGCCCTCAAATCCAAACACAACACCAACTATCTCCGCTACATTAATGAATACGACGACCGCATCGGCGGGTTCCTCCGCTTCTCCGGCCAGAGACTTGTCAGCCCGTATACCAAATTCGAGGTCGAGTACTCCGACCTCGGAAAGGGATACGTGCACATAAGATGCTGTTACAACAACAAATATTGGGTTCGCCAGTCTTCCAAATCTAGCTACATTGTCGCCACTGCCAACCAGGCAGACGAGGACCTCTCGAAATGGTCGTGCACGTTGTTTGAGCCGATCTACGATAACCGTCAGAAGGCCTATCGTTTTCGCCACGTTCAGCTTGATCAAATCGTCTTCCTATCCCACTCTAATGACCAATACAACGATTGTATCGTTGCAAAAGCTGAGCGTGAAGTTGAGGTTCTACCAATGGTTACAATTAGGAAGGCTGATGATGAAATTTATGCACTCTCAACACTCGTTGATTGGGACTCCCTCTTTATACTTCCAAAACATGTGGCCTTCAAGGGAGATAATGGCCAATATTTGAGCTTTTCTAGTCCATACTTGAAGTTTTCGAGCTCGGATGTTAAAGAGTCATCCGTTGTGCAAGAGATCTTTCCTACAAAAGATGGTAATATTCCTATAAAGAATGACGACTCGGGTAAGTTTTGGCATCGTGATCCTAACTGGATATGCGCCACATCGACCCACAAGAGCGACAATCCCAACAACTTATTCTGGCCTGTCAAAATCGACAACCAAAACCTGGCTCTTCGCAACTTAGATAATATTAAGCTTAAGCCAATGGATTGCCATAAATTTAATTCTTTTTTTTTATTTTTATATTCTTAATTACCAACGAACTAATGTTGACTCTCTCTCACCTCTGATCTTCTGGTCAATGATATGTTTGTTAACCAGCATGAATGAATTACATTACATTCATTCTTTATAGGTAATAATCATTTCTGCCAGAGACTGACTATCGAAGGAAAGACGAGTTGTCTCCATGCTGGTGCAATTACTATTACCAAAGAATCGCGCATGGAAGTGGTAGAGGTTGTAATTTCGAGGACCATTGATAACGTGGAGTACCGAATTAACGATGCCCAAATTTACGGCCAAAAGGTGGTGTCGATGGGAAAAGGAACTGCTGTCAACAAAACAAAAGAAACTGACACAGTAACTTTTCAATTCAAGTACGAGGAAAAAAATAAAAAAAACTGGAGTTCCTCTGTCTCGTCCAAAATTGGTGTGAGTGTTACTACAAACTTTCAAGTTGGGGTTCCTATGGTTGCAAAAGGAAAGATTGAAGTTTCAGCTGAGATGGAGACTGAATATGAATGGGGAGAAACCCATAAGGATAAAAATGTGAAGGAATTTACTTACCCTGTAATTGTGCCTCCAATGTCAAAAGTGAAGATTCATGCTCTCATCAAGCAAGGGATGTGCCAAGTTCCTTTCTCCTATCGTCGAACCGATGTTCTTAGATGTTCTTAGGACTGGACGACAAGTCGTTCATCATTTACATGATGGACTTTTCATGGGCATAAACTCTTACGACTTCGAGTTCAAGTCTGAAACCATAACAATGACATCATAAAATTATTTGAGAGACTGGAACAATGTGATTAGTGGTCCTATACTATTCGAACTTCAGAGGTTACTAGAGAGTAGTCACATTTTGACAGCCACCTTGAATAATTTTGTGTGAAAAGTGTAATTATGTAAGTTGATTGGAGTGAATCGAGGGTTATTTGCGAATAGTGGTTGTAAAACCAGTCTGTGTTTCTGTTTGTTGGTGTTTATGTACTTTGTGTAGTTACTAATGTGTTATGAAATTCTCTCTTTGGCTAAAACACACATGATTTCCTCTCTTGGTAACATTTTCGTGCTTCCAGCTTTTCTTTGTCTAATTTAATGAGTTTGATGGTCCGTTTGTAGAGGATAGAAAAGTGTTACGGCTCCCATACTGAAAAGAAAAGAGACCTTACAAAGGTTTATCTTATACGATACATGCTACTTCTCTCCTTGTCAATTGGTTTTGAGATGTAACATCATCTCAAAATGAGTATCCGATCCAAAGTATTGATATGATATCAAAGTCCAACCAGTTTAAACAAAGCATTCAATTCAAAATATAGGATCCGACCAAGATTGGTGAGCCCAAAAGTGCCACCATCCTAAGGAGTCAGGTTAAGGATCCAACATTAAAAAGAAAATAAATCCTATAAGGTTTATAATAGATATGGATTGCTTCTCTTCATGTCAATTAATTTTTAGATGAAACTGATGAATATTGATGGGAAGAAGGTAACCCTTTTTATAAATTTTGTTAATCAAGAATTGGGTCATAGAAAAGTGTATATATGTTAATGAACTATGAAGCATACCATGTCTAATAAGAAATTGATAGGATTTTAGAGAAAAACAATATTTAGAGCTGATTTACTATTTTTTTTTTTTTTGAGTTTTTTTCAAGTTATTTAATGGTTCATTTTGTGCATCGATCCAATTTAATTTTGTGTAAAACATAATTTCATTGAAACGAGTCAATTCGTATAGATTTTAACATTGCTTATTGTTAAAATTCACAAGTGAACTAGTAGAAATTTAACTAGATGATAAAAAATGTAAACTTATATAAGTGTATGATTCAATTTAATAAAGTTAGAAGTTCACATTGAGAATATCTATTATGTTTGGGAGTTCTCAGTTAAAAATTAGGCAAGGAATTAATCAAGGGGATAACAGTACCCATTTTGAATATTGAGACAAAAATTTTACAAAATTAATAATAAATTAGACAGAATATAATATTACCAGAGGTAAAATAAGAGAAGAAGAAGTGTGTTTTAGTAATTCTGTTCTTGGTTATATTCCAAACTTAATCAATCAATTTTTTGATAGTCTATTTTTGATTTGGAAGGAGTCATTATTATTTACATTGTTTAAATGTTGATATGATATATTAATTACCATTATACCAATTAGATTAATGAGCGATAATTTAATGTAAGGTGACAATAAAAGAATGATAAAAAAGTTAGCAGCCAATTTCAATAAATATATTAGTCGTCATCATTCTTAAAAGTTATAAGTTTAGTCCGTCCACTCATTTTATTACCTAACCACTAACCACTCATTAAACCTATCTAATTGAACCTAACTTAATTGATTAAGACATCTAAACTCTAACTCTGTTGTTCTATTAAATAATATTTTCTTATAATAAAAAAGAGCCAAAAGAGTCTTTGTGCCTATTGCATGTCTGAAATGATTGGAATAAGTGCATGGTGATCTTCAACACTTAGATCTAGGAGAACATGATTTTGGACAAATTCTCATTATAAAACAAATATTTCGATATCTCCAAAGCAATCTATTTTTCATTCAAAACTTATCCAATTTCAAAACTATCTTCAAAACATGTTGAAAATTGAAATCATACGACCAGTTTTTGTAAGATTGCCAACAAAGTGGCTAACGTGCTTCTTTAAGACGCATGATGCTTCAATGATTGACACACACTAATGATCATTCACCTTAACATTTGGAACATTGTGGAGGACTAGACATAATAATTAAAGTCACGTCCATCCTTTTTATACTCCACTTAATTCTAATTCTAAGTCCGACAAACTCAAACGATCATGCAATTGAAAAATAAAATTCGATTAAGATCGATGAGCCAAAAGAACTACGATCTTGAAGAGTATAACAGACATGGACGACTACCCCTATTATTGTCAATTAATTTTGAGATGGAATCCCATGAATATTGATATGGTATAAGAGTCCAATAAATTCGAGTTGGAGCTCGAACGAGCATTCAATCTAAAAATAGGATCCGACGAAGATCGATGAGTCAAAAAGAGCCACAATCTTGAGAGACATGTTAAGGATCTGACATTGAAAATATAAATGACCTAACAACGATTTATAATATACATGGGATACTCTTAATTTTTTTTGGATTGTTTTTAGATGCTACCCATAAAAGTTGATATAAGAGATCTCTACTTTCTATAAAAAGATTGTAACTTATATTTTTCTGAAAAATATTATACCATCTATCACATAGATAATATAATATTCCTTTTAAAAAAATACCAACAAATTATTTTAGTAAAAAGTGTATTTTCTAATTTGAATTTTAACTCTAAACTTCCAAATTTATTATAATTAAATTTCTTATATTTTAAAATGAACTATCAAATTTGGTCTCGAATTTGTAAAGTTTTTTATTTTTTTGTATTTGGAACTATTTTTTTAATGGGACATTTTTTCAACATTTCAGATAAATTATGCTAAAATTAACATTATCTCACCAGCATGAGTTTTGCTCAGCAATAATTGGTACTCATCTCTAATCCAGAGATCATAAGTTCAAATCCTCATCCCTATTTGTCCTATTAAAAAATATCATTATCTCCACATTATTTCTTTTTTTTAGTGTGAATAATGGCGAAGTGAGAGCCAAAGTGAACATAGCTCAACACTAAAGGGTAAAACGAGAAAAAATATAAGATAATTAAAAGAAAATATAAGATAAATATAAGACATTTTAGATAAACTCATTTTTATAAAAGCACACCAAAAGATAAATGTAAACTAGAAACTCTTGATTTTGGACTTTCCTACACTAATGCTGAAGAGACATTTGCAAGATAAAGAAAGAAATCCTTTTATTGGCAATGTTAAATGACTTTCTTTCTTTCTTTTTTTTTTTTATAAGTTTCAACAAATAATGGTGTCATTATAATGGAATTTTATTATTAAAAAAACCCAGCCAGATTATTGATAATATTTCTTTTAGTTCATTACCTCTTTTATTGATGGTATACTATTTTTAGCATGCTACTTTTTTCTTGTGGATATTATACTATTTTTTCTTTTAAAATATGTTTGAACTTTCAAAATTTATTTTGATCCTTCAATTTTTTAAAATGCCTAATTACGTTCTTAATTTAAATAAAGAACTATTATCTTATTTTGTTACCAAATTTTAACCTATGGGTATAACATGAATTTTTTTTTTAACTACTGGACACAGGAGGGCTCGAACGTGGATCTTGCAAGCCTCCTGCCATTGCGCCAACACCCAAGGGTGCAGGTATATAATATGATTATTTCAAACATGTGTATTAATACGTTAGTATGGGCAACACTAAAGTTACATAGGTTTGGTTGATGCAACTCTTGATTGGGCATATATAAGATATAGTAGAATCATAGCAAAATCATTCGATTTTTTTTATCTTTTTTCTTTGAAAATTCAATGCAAGAAATTAATAAGATAGACATTGTAAAATAATTTAAGGACCAAAATAAAATAAAGTAGTAAAACGGGATTAATTTAAAATTCAAGCACTCAAAATGTGACTTAAATGTATTATTTTAAAAACTAATATTATTTAAATTTAATTTAATTGCAATAGATTCTCAAAAGGTTTCACACTAATAAAATTGTTGCCTTTAATTTATATATATATATATATTACAAAAAAACAACACTGAATGTTAAAATTAAATAAGACCACTAAAGTTACATCGGGAAAGTGGTGATCATGCCCCACAATCAGAATCCATAAGAAAAATAATTATCCTCATTATTAGTGGAGAGATCTTGTCAATTATGACACTCCTATTTAAAATTGGAAGGAAAATTATTGTCTTCAAAGTTGTATTATTCTCTACATGGCAGGTAAGGAAGGATTAGACAAATTTGTCAAATCATGCTAACGATTCTCAATACAATAAAGACTAATAGTCTCAACAAATTCCAAAATGGTGTTCAAGCCGATTGCTCCTCATAAGAATCACTTAGGGTCGTTTATTATTTGGTATGTAAATGTCTTTAAAGTCTAGAATTTCAGATGCTCAAAATTTTAGATGTCTGACACTTTTATTAATTACGTTTATTTCCTAAGAAAATTTGTAGGGATGTCCATAAATATTTGGAGATCTATGTTTTTTTTGCCAGATTTATTCTTGATAATATTTCAAATTTATATAATGTTCATAAAATGTCTTTATAAATATTAATATAATTTATATATTAATTTAATATAATTTATGCTTATATGATAGAATTGTTTTTATTAATTTAATATTTTTTTATATTTATTTTGTATATATTAATTTTTATATGTTATTTTTTAGAACAAATTATTTATTTAATATGAATATAAGATTTTAAGAAATAATTAATATTAAATATAAATTTATTATCAACTTTAATATTTTTCCAAAAAGATAATTACATCATTGATGTTATCCTGAAATAAATTTATTTATGATATTATAAAATTATATTAATTTAAGAAGAAAAATATCAAATATATATATTGATCCTTAGACAAATGTTGCTTTGAAAAACTTGAGATATTATATTAGATTATATTATATTATTTTATATGTAATTGTAATATATAAATATACTTAATTGCATAAAGTTTTTTATTAATACATGAGCATAATAATTTATTTAAATTATAAACTTAAATTAAAATAAAGAAAATTAATGAAAAAATAATGAAGTTAAAAAGTATAAACAAATCATGCCTCAACATGGGAAAACTCAAACAAAAACTTTTAAAAAATTATTTTTATTTTTAAAAGGTAGAACTTTGATTTCTTGGTTTATAAGTTTTTTAGAATAAGAATAATTTGTTACAAAACTACTATTTTTTTGTTCAATAAGAGTTTTGAGAAATAAATTTCTACTTTTTTTGGTTTTTGTAATCGTAAATGAAAATAAAAATAGAAAGAGACAAGATTTTTTTTAATGTCAAGGACAAAATATTGCAAGAGACAA